CTCCAGCAGGACGCAGCAGCAGGCGAACGCCCCCGAGCGCAGCCGCATCCTCCCGCTCCAGCAGCCGCCGGCAACCGAGCTCCCTGCGGGGGGCGGGCCGCCCTGCCAGGCCTGGCCAGTCAGCGGCCAAGCCCGCGCCAAGCCCGCGCCACCATTGGCTGCCGGCCAACCAACCAGCGGAGCCCGCCTGCCGAACAAACCAAATCTTCAACCGCAGCCCGGAAATGCCGCGCCCGCCTCCAGCCAATCAGAGGGGAGAACAAGGGGAACTACATTTCCCATCAACCTGTCGCGCGCTATAGGGCGGCGCTGGCGTCAATCCGCGCGCGCTGTTGGACGGCGCTGTTCTGCGTGGGAGCTGCAGGGACTGATGTAGCCATGGGTGGGGACGAGACCTTGCCCCAGGCGGGAGCAGGGCCGGAGCCGAGCACGCTTAAGTGGCCAAAGGAGCGGTGGAAGTTGGGGCTGGCACGGGGAAGCAAGGGTTTAAGCTACTTGACCTCGGCTTCTGCTCTGTCCCCACTCCACCCTGCTTTCCCTGCTGCAGCTGGGGGGCCTGGGAGAAGGGTGGAAGAGGAGGGGAATCTAAGATGACACTCCAATAATTAGATTCTGTACACGGAAATTCATAACAAATTTAGAAACTCTCCATATACAGAATACAGTAGTGTAACAGTGATGTTTGTAGCCAAGATGTCCACACGTTTACAAAAGGCTTTCTTATGGCGAGATATCTTAATTTGAGCTGGTCCAATAAAAGATAACACAATCAAAAAATCCTTGCTTCTTGCTGTATGGAATCCTATTATTAGGAGGATTATCATCTTTGATTCAGGTATGTGACCCTGGGAAACGATATGGGGTTACTTCATCACCACCTGTACTGTGTTCACTTAGGACTCTCCTAGTTGGAGAGGCCGATTAGGGGCCGTGCTCTTCTTGACCTGTTGCTCACAAACTGGAGAAATGGTGGATAAAGTACTAGTAGCTGGCAACTTGGGCAGCAGTAACCACAAATGATTGAGTCCAGGATCCTAAGGAAAGGAAGGATGGAGAGCAGCAGAGTATAGGCCTCAGACTTCAGACGAGCAGACTTCGACTCAGGGGACTGATAAGATCCCCTGCGAGGCCAGTCTGAGCAGCAGAGTCCAGGAGAGCTGCCTGTACGTTAGAGAAACCTTCTTGAGGGCACAGGAACAAACCATCCTGATGTACAGAAAGACTAGCAAGTATGGCAGACGACCATCTTGGCTTAGCAGGAACTCTTCAGTGAGTTAAAATACAAAAACCTTATAAGACGTGGAAACTTGGACAAGCAAATAGGCGGATAATAAGAGTATTGCTTGGGCAAGCAAGGATGAAATCAGGAAGGCCAAAGCACAATTGGAGTTGCAGCTAGCAAGGGATATGAACAGTAACAAGAAGGGTTTCTAAAAGTACGTCAGCAAAAAGAGGAAGATTAGGGCAAGTGTGGTTCCCTTGCTAGATGGGGGAGACAACCTCATGACAGATAATGTGGAAAAGACTGAAGTGCTCAATGCCTCCTTCACCTCAGTCTTCACAGGCAAGGTCACCTCCCAGACTACTGCACCTGGCAGCACAGTTTGTGGAAAAGGTGGGCAGCAAACAGTGGCAAAAGAACATGTTAGGGATTTTAGTAAAAGCTCTGTTATCTGTCATCCCCCGGGAATGGGGGATGCCGGATAACAAAATATGCCGGTTAATTGAGCGGCCCCAGCTGCCGCTTCTCCCGCCGCATCTGGGGCACCCTCCACCCCTCTCGTGGGCCCTGGAGGCCTTGCGGGACAGGGAGGTGGGCCCCACACAGCCCCACACCGCCTGTTATGCCCCCCGGGCCGTGGCGGCTCAGCAGCGCAGGCTGCTTTGCCCTGGGCCGTAGGGGCTCACAGAAACCGGAA